GGCCTGACCAGTCCCTGTGGAGGATGCTCTTATCTTATCCTTCTCTCTCCCTCTTGCATGTACACGTATGTACTCTATTGTTGATAAAGGGAGAAAAAAAAAAGACAAAACATAAAATACCCCAAAACATCATTAGTAGTGCTGACACATGTGCACAAGTCCTCGAACTTTTAATATCACTCCATTTTTTCTGCACACTGGATACATTGTCATAGACCTAGTGGTGGCTTTTATTTAAATCAATTCCATTTGCTGCTTTTTTTTCCTGATATATTTTTATAACCCTGCACAACATGATTGATCCCAGTCATGTCTTCAACATCCATGAAACCTGAGAACTTCTCTTTAATTAAACCCCAGCCTGAAGTCCTGCTGCCCGCCTTTCCCAACTCCAAACGTGCTACTGTGGCAAGCTGGGGTCAGCCAGCAGACAGCCCCGGCGGGTCAGGCAGGGCCTCCACGCAGAGAGAGCTGGCTTCTGACTTAGTTGCTCTGTGGGACAGACAGGAGGGACAGACAGCAGATAGGGTCTTGTGGGAGAATCTCATCTCCACGGTTCCAAAAGAGAGCCTGGCGCAGGGACCCATCAGAGAAGAGGCAGAGCCAGCAGCCTTGGGTGGCCCCGAGAGAACATGCAGAACGCCTCCCTCCTGGAGGCTGGAAGAGGGTGCTGCAGAGCAAGCGCCCCCTCCTGGGGCACGGCAAGGCAGTGCAGTTTGTCAGCACTGCCTTGAGGAGTGATTAGAGCCCTTGAAGGCAACAGTAAGTACCTAAAAGAATTCAGCAACGGGGAAGGAAAAGGAGAGCCTGCAATTCCCTGGGAACTGCAGGGGGAGACCAACCACAGCCTACACAACTCCAGGAAGGAGAAGACAAACAGAGCAATTAGAGCTCTTTTAAAAAAATCAAACCCAACATACTTTCCTGAACTAGGAAACATGGTTTTAAATTTAAAACCAAGAGGACAGAGAACTGGGGAGCCAAGCGGAAGAGAGAATGCAAAACTCAAAGTAAAAATACAAGGGAACCTTTAAAAGGTCATGGAAAATGAAATTCAGGTATGAGTTCATTTTGATGCAAAAAAAATTGAAATCCAAGCATAATTTTTCATAATAGGCATTTTTCAGGGACCCTTTGAAGACCCTCCCATTGTATAAGATTGAGACCATTCAGAGAAAAACAAGTTACCTAGGAGAGAGAGATCCAGGAGTCATAATATGTGAGTAATAAAATAGGAATAGAAATTGTAGAAGGAAAAAAGAACAAATAGAGGAAAAGCAATCATTTTTAAATGAGAAAGGAAATTTTCCGTGGTTTGAAAAATGCCTTGGGTTTATAGATTGAAAGGCTCGTTGAGTTCTAGGCAGGAAGGATGGAAAAAGACACACATCTAGGCATAGGCTGGGAAGATTCCAGAATTCCATGATTAAAAGGAAACTCATACAAGCTTCTCGGATGAGAGAACAAATTGCATAGAAAAAAGAGAATCAGGCTGAAATCATGCATCCTTTGCAATGCTAGAAATCAATGTCAGTTACCTCCATAGACCTCCGAGACAAAAGAATCCCATGCCAGCAGTGGGCCACTCACCTACCCAGGCTGGAAAAAGGGCAAAAGCCCAGAGAATTTTCCTATATGGGGAAACACTTGAGCAAGGAATCTGATTAGACAGTGAATGAACCAGATTGGAGATGAGGGAGGTGAAGAAAAGCAGAAGCCATGGTGAACCAAGACCCTTCCAATGTAAGTAGTGAGCTCCAAGTGGATAATTAAAGGTGAAGTGGAATTTGCAATACAAGTACTAAATACGTATTTACTTTTAAACAGAAGAGAGATGCAAAAGAACGGATTGCAAGTCTGCAACTAAAGGTGCCAAAGGTTCTTGGCAAAAAATGCAAGGGGTTGAGGAGGGGAACAAGGGTCAGCCAAAGCCCTGAAAATAGCTCTTCTTGGCTGGGGCGGGAGAGATGAGGGGAGGGAGAGCCCCTTGGTGCTAGTGTCTAGTTGCCACGAAAGATTTTTGTTATGAAAATCAGAAAAGGCAAGGTCATCTATAGTGGAAGACAGCTTCCAAAATAAGGAAAAGAAAAATGACAGACATCATTGTCACTCGTTTCATCCTTTTATTGATTGTTTGTTAATTTTTAAAAACATTCTATTATGAAAACTTGTAAACACACACTACAGAAGAAGAAAAAACATAATGAATCTCTATGTACCCAACAGTAGGGTCAAATGATGCATTTTTAAAATTTATTTATTTATTTAGGTTTTTGTCATAGGGTGCCTGCGCTGGTGGGAGACAGAGAGGGAAAGTGAGAAGTCACCTCCTACAGGGCATGGCCATACTGCAGTCCCTTCTCCTCCATTCTCCTCTTAGGATCTTGGACACACTCCTGACTTGATTTTCAAGCCACTGGGTCCAGGATTCAAACTGCAATTGGCCATGTGAAAGTCCAGCACTTTAACCACCATACCACTTGCTGGCCCCTTATTTATTTTTATGTTTTAAAAATTGTTTTTGGTTTGGCCTGAGGGTGTATGCACTCACCAGAGATAGCAAAGCAGAGAGAAGGAGAGGAAGAAAGTACCACCTTCCATGGGGTTTGATCATACCGCAGTCCCTTCTCCATTTCTCTGTCCTGTCAGGATTCGGGGCACTCATATATACATGTCCAGTATGTTTTTCAAGCTGCTAGGGCCGAGATTCAAACCATGTAGTCAGTCATGTGGAATCTGGCTCCCTAACCACCAGACCATGAGGCTAGCCCTTAAGTTTGTTTATTTCTCCCACGAGTAAGAAAGAGAAAGCACTCCCAAAAGGATTTGAAGCTGCGATCTACTTCCAGCCATGACCGTGTGGACTGTGGGGACGTGCATGCCCTGTATACTCAGGAGGTCTCAGTATGAGAACCCAGACTTCCCCATGTGGGGCTGCCCCACAGAGCATCAAGTTTTACTCCTGTGCCACTGTCCACCCCCAATCTGTGACTCATTTTTTTTTTTAAAGCTGGAGATATATGTCACAAAACCCTGTAACATTTCAGTTTTATTTTCCCAGCACTTTCACTTAGGAATTTGCACCCTTTTGCAAAAAATCAGCACTTGTCTTCATTGATCAAAGCTTTCTTCTTTGTTTATTTTTGATTCTGATCTTCACAACTCCAAAAGTATGCCTTCATGAAAAGACTTAAAGGGCATGATCTTTGCCTGCTAACCATTATTCTAGCTTCTCCATGGCTGACTTTTAATGGTGAACAACTGGCAAAGTCACCAATTCCTAAATCCTTCTGATTACAAAGACTTTTAAAAACCCTATCGTTTACGCAGAACTTTTTTTTTTTTTTTTTCTGGGCAGCTCGGCCAATATTAACTTTTCCTCAATAAGAGACACCTGGCTTGGAATGAGATCATTTGCTCTCTGTCTCTGTGTTGGTGCCAAGTGCTAATGATTCTGGAAAACTCTGTACTATCACTTAACTCCCTGGGTGAGTTCTTGGTGGAAAATGACAACAGACTGTCTTTAACTAATCACGGGTTCTAAAAAAGAAACCACAGCCAAGCTTGGCCAAGTTGTCAAAACAAAAGAAATACTTACAAGTCAGGCAGGTGGGCAGATGAACGCCAGCCAGCCAGGTAGAGGGCACGTGGGGCTGCCAGCATCAGTCGAGGAGTTCCCACTCACCAACTTCAGAACCAGCACCACCATGGGCTGGGCCAGCTGCTTTCATGTTCCCCTCCCTTCAGTGCCAGGGACTCCCTGGTGGGTGACTGGGGCAGGGAGCTTGGTGAGACCAGAGATAGAGGAGGATGAAGAGGTGTGTGTGTGGGGGGGAGACTGTAAGTGAGGTGGAATTGTGGCAACAGAGCAGAAATGAGAGCAGCCAGGAGGAAGATGCCCTAATCCCAGCACGGCCCCAGGGCAAAGGAGGGGGGAAGAGAGGGATCAAGTCCCACCGTG